GGTGTTGGAATTATGGAGCTTAATGTGATTGATCGTGCATGGTTTATGTTCATGCAGAGTGTTTTAGCATTTTATCTGTCATTACTCCTTTTATCTGAAGTCGCGTTACACTTACTAAGTCGCACTTGTTTTCCGTTGTAACTTTCTTCTTGTCACGTGTTTTAGTTATTGGCACATGTGTTATCTTTCTATTAGCTTCTCTGTTCCCCACGTGATATAAGTGTGTTAGCTGGGGGTTTTCTACTGTAATTTTGTATTGAACATTTACAGAGCTCCAATCTCAACTTTAATGGTGATCTAGGTTTTGTATATTTTGTTGGTGATTTCAACGATTATTTGACATATTAACTCAAGTTTGCATATATATGCATACAAAACATGTGTATGTAAATGCAAGATACAGTTTATAATCACTGAATGTAATTTACAGTATAATTTTTATACTATTTTACAAAAGGGGAGTGTAGAGTCATGAGACTTATCTTTACCCCTTTTGGTAGTGTCGAGAGCTCACAGCAGAGCTTTGGAGCTTTTAAAAAGCAGATCTTTTTTCTGTAAAGCTAGTGATTTGTGATTCACTCACCCATTGTTAATTTGCCTGCCCTTTGTCCTTTTTTCTCAGCTACATGTGTGTGCTCATTAAAGGTCTTCATTTTTCAACCTTACACACATTTCTTTTGCAGGATCTTTATCAAAAAGTTATAAAAGGTTTGCAATTTTGCTGTCTGCCCATTACAATTTAAAGAGATTTCCTAATATAGATGCAAGGTTTGACATCAATTTTAAAAGGGAAAATAATGGTGAAAATTGTTTACTTTGATTATTTATATTCTTTATGGGCTGCTACCGAGTGACAAAAGTCCTTGGCTTTCTGGTTAAACTTGTAGAATTTACGGGTCATGTGAGGAAGTTGGCTTCGAAAGTCGAGGTTAACAAAAAAATCTAGTATTTTATTCGAATTCGTGCTCTGAGTTTTTCAACTTTCAGAATCTTGAAAGCTTTCTTTTCACAAGTTTACCATTTTTGACTCGAAAGTTTCTCGATTTTTATCTGCCCTTTTGCCTCTGTGCGTTTTTTATGCGACCTGAGAGATGTTTGAATGCCTTTCTAGCTGAAAAGTCCACGCTCGGACGGTTGATTTCTCTGGGTCTTTTAAAAAAAAAAACTCCAAGATTCTGCACTTGATCGAATTATTTCAGATTTGAAGGCTTCCAAATCTAGCCATGGCGTAGAAGCATCATCGTCGGTAAAAGAAATATCTTCCTCCTAGCAAAAAAAATGGAGAATAACGAGGCAGATAACTGGAGGGATATGGTCACGAAGATGCTCCCACCAGGTGCCCCTATCCCGGACGACGAAAAAATGGACTACTCGATAGCCCTCGAGTATAATGGGCCTCCGGTACCTTACGACAACATCCCACAGGCCGAGCCCCTCGACTTGAACCCGGCCCAATCCCAACTGCCGACCCTCTTTCGGAGTCCAGACGATCCGTGGCCCGCGACTCGGCCCCTGTGATCGAGCCTATCCCCCTCCCTAGAAGAAGACTGTCCCAGAGCACCGAGTCAGTTGTGTCCGTTTTGCAGAACGATGATTTCTCTTCACGATCGGGCTCGGGCTCGGGCTCGCCGGGCTCGGTCCACAGCTGGCAAGACGGGCCACTCCCTCCAAACGAGGCAAGGCGGCCTATGGTGGTGACTTTCAACACGGCTGATAGGTCTGAGCGGCAATTGGCCGATAGGGAAAAGCAGGTTCTCCCCGAATTTGTGGTGGGCTTAGCCAAGGAGAAGAAGAAGAAGAAGAAAAAGAGGAAAAAGGCGAGGGTTTGCTATAGGTGCGGGAAAGGGAAGTGGGAGATTAAAGAAATATTGCAGCAACTGTGTGCTCCGAGCCATGGGCTCGATGCCCGAAGGACGTAAGTGCGTGACGTGTATAGGGGAGCCGATTGACGAGGTGAAGAGGTGCAGATTGGGTAAGCACTCGAGGATTTTGTCTCGTTTGCTCAGCCCATTGGAGGTTAAGCATATCATGAAGGCCGAGAAGGAGTGTGTGGCCAATCAGCTCCGGCCGGAGCAATTGATTGTGAACGGGTATCCTTTGAAGACGGAGGAGATGGCGGAGCTTTTCGGGTGCCTTTTGCCGCCTAGGAAGTTGAAGCCGGGCACGTATTGGTATGATAAGGAATCAGGTCTTTGGGGAAAGGTAAAAATAACAGATTTTTTGTATACTCAAATTTTTTTTTTTGTTCATTTATTGTTTTTTAAATAAGTGAGGGAAAATGTGGTCATTCAGTTTGTGGTGTGTTCAATTTGACAGGAGGGAGAGAAGCCTGATAGAATTATTAGTTCGAATTTGAATTTTACGGGTAAACTAAGCCCGAGCGCGAGCAATGGGAATACTGAGGTGTACATGAATGGTCGAGAAATTACGAAGCTTGAGCTGAGAATACTGAAGGTTGGTAAATCTGGGAATTTACCAAGTCTGACTGTGTTTTGTCAATTGTTTTATGTTGATGCAACAAAAAACCTGGAGAAATGGGGGTGCTTTACACTAATGTAAAGTTGTAGCTCTTTGCTGAAGCATCTTTTATTATTTAACTTTGTTAGAGTGACTGCTGTGGCAATATTGTTTTTCGATAAAGACTGAAAAGCTTTCTTATATATACTTCAATTGAGATTGGCACGGTAATTTAATTTAGAAATTTGTTGTCAAGTATTTGAATCAAATGCTCATCAGTTTGTTGATTTCTATATTATGTTAACCCAAAGCTCAAGTATAGAATAGTCTAAATAATTGTTAGGTATATAGGAAATTCAATCAATCAATGCTTGTATTCAGCTTGCAAATGTACAATGCCCTCGTGATACCCATTTTTGGGTGTATGATGACGGTCGATATGAAGAGGAAGGACTAAATAATATCAGAGTAAATATCTGGGAAAAGGTTAGATTTCAAGAGAAAAAATATGATTATCTTAAATAAATTACAACTGTAGAGGCATTTTTTTCAGTGGAATCATGTTTAGCGACATCTCAAATCTTATCACTTTAGGCATCAACTCGGTTCGTGTGTTCCTTGTTCTCTCTGCCTGTTCCTCAAGGTCAGCCTCATGGGCTAAAGGATGAGCCTAGCAACTACACGACTGTACCGAGTTATCTTGAGCCGAAAAAAAAGTTTCAGAAGCTTCTTCTTTTTGGACTGCAAGGCTCTAGTACCAGCACCATTTTCAAGCAGGTAGTTTTAATTGAGTTTCAAAAAGGGTGATGTTATATACAGCTACTAAGCAGTCAAAGCTGTCAATATTCCTGTGCTCACATTAATTAGAAGAAAAAATATGTTAAGAAAATGTTATAATTGTTTACTCCATTTCTTATCCTTAATCAATTTCTCGGTTCCCTGCTCTTTTTTTTTTTTTTTCC